TGTTAAGATAAAGAACCTAACATATCTATAACGTATTTCATGTATGAACAATAAAATTTATTTATTTTCTTCTCAGTTGGATATGGAACCTGGAACTTTTTTTTATAATAGCTGTATTTTAGGACACAAAGCAAATCTTAGCAAAGAAAGAGAGGAGGTGGGGAGGGAGGGAGAGAGATTAAATTCTATCAGATCATATTGGAATAAAATTAGAAATCAACAAAATAAAGAACAGAAACTATTTGTAACTTTTGGAGATTAATTAATAGAATTTTGAGTAAGGAATGGGTTATGGAAGAAATCAGGGGAGAAATCAAACAATTTTAAAAACAAATGAGAATGGAATTAAAACAATTAAAACTCTCTTGGATATTATGAAAGCAATTTTAACAGGAAAATTTATAGCATTGTACATTAAAAAACAAAACAATTAATATCCCAAATAAATAATCAAATGTTATAGAAAAGTAAAAAAAAATTAAATAAGTAGAAGATACGAAATAAAATCAAAGCCAAAATTAGTAAAATTAAAAATTAAAGGTAATAAAAATTATTAATGTGACAAATATTTGACTCTTTGAAATGAAAAAGATTGCTAAACACTTAGCCAAATGAGTCAAAAGAGAGAGAAGACTCAAATCAGCAAAATTAGAGATGAAAGAGGAGATATGACCACATATACTTCTGAAATCCAGATAATCATTAGAATCTATTTTGAAAATTGATGTTCCAATAAATTAGAAAATCTAGAAGTTATTAACTTTCTAGATACAAATGACCTATCCAAATTAAACTAAAAGGATATAGATAGCCTAAACAGACCAATATCAAGCAATGAGAGTGAAACAGAAATTAAAAGCTTTCCAGCAAAGAAAATCTCAGGACCAGATGGATTCTTTGCAAAGTTCTAACAGATCTTTAAAGAGTAACTAATATCAATCTTTCTTAAATTATTCCATGAAATACAAAGAGAGGGAAAGACGGAATAAAAAACTCACAAATTCATCCTAAGACGCTAGTAATCATTTGGATACAAAAACCAAACACTCAGTCAAGGAAAGAAAGCTACAGAACAATATTCCTGATGAACATAGATGTAAAAATCTTTATTAAAATATTAGCAAACCACATTCAGTAAAACATTAAGAAGATAGTACACCATGATCAAGTGGGTTTCATCCTACTGATGTAAATATGGTTCTAAGTATGCAAATCAATAAATGTAATTCATTTAAAAAAAATTAAGGAAGAGAATCACATGATTATCTCTAAAGTTGCAGAAAAGGCCTTTGACAAAATCAAGCATAGTTTCATGTTAAAAATGCTGGAAAATTAAGGAATAGAAGGAACTTACATCAACATTATAAAGTCTATGTCTGACAAATGTAAAACCAACATAATGCTAGTAGAAAAAACCCAAAGCATTTCCTCTAAAATCAGGAACAGGAAAAAATGTACACTCTTACCAATCTTATTAATAYAGTTCTTGAAAGTCTAACCAGTGCAATCTGGCAAGAGAAGTAAATTAAAGGTATACAAATAGAAAAAGAACTGTTAAATTATTTTTGCTGATGACTTGATTCTGTATGTGAAGACCCAAAAAGCTACACTAAAAGATTTCTAGGGATGATARGCAGGTTCAGCAAAGTAGCAGAGCACAAAATCAATATAAAAGAAGGGGGAGAAGGAAGAAGAGGAGAAAGAGGAGGAGGAGAGAAACTATCACTATCCTGGAGTATAATAATTAATCTTCTGAGAAAAAATTAGGAATATTATCTCATTCATAATAACCTCAAAAAAATGAAAAAGAAGGAGGAGGAGGAAGAGGAGGAGGAGGAAGAAGAGGAAGAGGAGGAGAAGGAGGAGGAGCAGGAGGAGGAGGAGGAGGAGGAGGAGGAGGAGGAGGAGGAGGTAACTAAAGAGGTAAAAGCTCTCTTACAATGAAAACTATAAAATACTGAAGAAAGAAATAGAAGAAGACATTAGAAGATGGAAAGACTTCATATGTTATAGCATAGACAAAATCAACATCATCAAAATGTTCATATTAACAAAAGTCTCATAAAAAATAAATTCAATATCCACTGAAATACAACTGATATTATTTACAGAACTGGAAAAAACAGTGCTAAAATTTATTTGGAATAATAAAAAATACAGAAAAGACAAAGCAATACTGAGCAAGAAGGGTAATGCTTGAGGCATTACAATACCTGATCTCAAAATATACTACAGAACTACAGTAACAAATACAGAATGGTACTGGCATCAAAACAGGCATGAAAAACAGTGAAATAAAATAAAAGACACTAAGACAGACTCACTAAGATACTTTACTCTGATTCTAAATAAAGGTGGCGAAAACTTGTTGGAGAAAAGATGGCCTTTTTAACAAATGATGCTGGAAAACTTAATATCCATATGTAGAATAATGAAATTAGATCTCCATCTTCTTTCCTGCACAAAAGTCAACTCAAAGTAGACTACATACATAGAACTTAGACATAGAAATTAGATCAGAACCACATAGAACTACATAGAAAAATATAGAACTACAGACATAGAAATTAGATCAGAAACACTGAGACTATCAGAAGAAAGCATAGGCTCACTATTGGTACAGGTTCCAACTTCCTTAACAAGGYCCCTAAAGGTCAAGACACAAAAGTAAGAATCAACAAACTTGATGGCATCAAATTAAAACAAAACAAAACAAAAAYTTTCTGCATAGCAAGTGAAATAAGGGCCTGAAGAAAGAGTCTAGAGAATGAGAGAAAATATTTACCAGTAACTTTTCTGATGGCGAATTAAAATACAGATATGTAAAAAGCTTAACACCAAAATAAACAAATAACTAACTGGATCAATAAGTGGGCAAAAGAACTAAACAGACTTTACTCAAAGAAGAAGCATAAATGACCAACAAGTATATCAAAAACATTTAATATCCCTAAGAATCAGGGAAATGCAAATTAAAACTACATTGAGATTTCATCTCATGCCATTTAGAATGACAATCATCAAAATATGAGTAATAATAAATATCAGAAACTATATGAGGAAAAAGATATATTTATACATGTTTTGGAGGGACTGCAAATGAATCTATCCAATGGAAAACAGTATGGCAATTTCTCAAAAGGCAGGAATGGAATCACCATATGACCCAGTTATAGCACTCCTTGGTATTTATCCAAGAGAACTAAATTCAGAGTGTAAAGCAATTCAAGCAAATCAGTGTTTTTAACAGGGCAATTCACAATAGTCGCGTTGTAGAACCAGCCAAATTGCTCATCAACAGATGAATGGATAAAGAGAATGCAGTATCTCTACAAAATGGAGTTTTACTAAGCCGTAAAGAATTATAGAATTTTGACATTTGATGGTAAATCGGTGGAACTAGAGAATATTATGCTAAATGGAAAAAAAAACAGACCCCAAAGCTGAGGGTTTAATGTTTTTTCTCATATGTGGAAACTAAGGAAAATAATAAGAAAGCAAAATAAAGAAGATAAAAGGAGATCATGGAGTAGAGGAAGGTAGTAGAGAGGGAGGCAGAATGGATGCAGAAAGGAGGAACTGAGGGATGCAATTGACCAAATTATGGTATGTGTGTGTGTCTGTGTGTGTGTGTGTGTGTGTGTGTGTGTGTGAATTTACCATACTAGATTTGCCTTAATGTATATCTATAAAGCCCCCAGTTCAAATA